ATTACATCATTTAGTGACACCAGTTTCAACAGACCAATCAGCCATAATAACAGTGATGACCAACAAGAAGTACTTAAATTGAGGGAGAAAATAAGAGAAATTGAAAATGAAAGAGATTATTACAGACAGCAAAATGGTCAACCAGAATATACAAGACAGCAGAATATTCAAACAGATAATACAAGACAGCAAAATTTTCAATCAGAATATACAAGACAGCAGAATGTTCAACCAGATACAAGACAGCGAAATTTTCAATCAGAATATACAGGACAGCAAAATTTTCAACCAGATTATACTAGATGGCAAAATAACCAAATGAGATACCGAACAGACTCCACATCTAGCATGCAAGATAGTTATCACTCAAGATTACCATTCTACAATGGAAGAAGTGACTGGAGTACATTTCAGTTGCAATTCGAAATAATTGCTGAAAGAAATAATTGGGATCCAAGACGTCAAGCTGAGGAAATATTACTGGTGCTTAAAGATCAAGCTGCAAAATTTGCATCTGAGCTACCGTATGACACAAGGAGCTCGTTTCGACTTTTATCCAAAGATATGGAATTCCATTTAGTGATGCATGTTTAAATATGAAGTGTTGTATTGCTCCTCTTTTATTAAAACTCATTTCACATATACTACATTTGTTCGTGTCTGCCATTCTGGGCAGAAAATTCATAGTCAGAACGGACCATGGGTCTCTTTAATGGTTATTTGGATTCAAAGACCCTCAAGGTCAGATAGCAAGATGGATATAATCACTATCCCAGTATGATTTTGAAATACAACACCGTCCCGGCTTAAAACATCAAAATGCCGATGCATTGTCTCGACAAGAACATGGTGATACAGAGTGCATTCATTCTTCAAACAACATGAAAGATACATGTAAGGCCTGTTTAGAGCTAAATGAGCAATGGAAAAATTTCAAGACCGAGGTGGATGATGTCAAAAAACTGAACTCTAATGTTACAGTTAGAGCTGTATTGACCAGGTTTTAAACACAGCCAGAGTGGTTAGCTAAATACTCAGCTAAGGACATGCAGTCATTCCAAAAAGAAGACCCAGACCTGAAGTATTTGCACCAATGGAAAACAGAAGGAAAACTACCAGACAGAGAAACGTGTGCCAGTTTAAGCCCAGCTGTAAGAAGGTATTGGTTAAACTGGGAGAATATTGAAATGATTGATGGTATTATTTATCAGAAATGGACCAATACCAAGAATAAGTTAAATCATTTACAGTTGCGTGTTCCAGCAATATTAAAAAAAAACATATATTGACCATGAGCCATAACACTCCTCATTCTGGACACATGGAGGTCAGGAAAACCACAGAGAAAATGAAGACAGTTTTCACCTGGTACAAGATGAGTCAAAACATAACAGAGCACATACAGAGATGTAAAATATGAAATAAGATAGAAGGAACTGGGAAAAAGCCAAAAGCCCCTTTGATGGATTACAGAGCTGGGTATCCATTAGACAGAACTGGTATAGACGTCATTGGTCCACTACCATTATTATCGTCCTGAATATGCATGAAATATTTGCCACTGGACGTTAAGCAACCAACAATCAATCAATCAATCCACTACCATTAACCAAGAGGAAGAATAAATATATTTTGGTTATAGGTGACTACTTTACCCGTTGGATGGAAGCCTACCCAATACCACATCAGCAAGCCGATCAGATATCTCAGAAACTGGTGATGGAATTTATTGGCATATCACTAGAACTGCATACAGACCAAGGAAAGAATTTTGAAAGCGACCTGTTCAAATCTGTTTGTAATTTATTACAAATTCATAAAACCAGAACAACTGCATATCATCCAGCATCAAATGGTTTGATTGAAAGGTTTCACAAGACACTTGGTGGTATGATCAAAACTTTTGTCAACAAGAACGTCACAAATTGGGACCAATATATCAGTTTACTGTTAGCCGCATACAGAAGTACCCTTCATCCGGCTACAGGTTTTTCACCAAACTGTATGATGTTAGGAAGAGAGGTCAATATTCCTATTAGCTTACTATATAAAAGTAAAGAAAAAGGAATCCAGAAAAATGAAGAAGAGTACATGTCGACACTTAAGTCTCATTTCCAAGAAGTTTATGAAATAGCAAGAGAAAATCTCAAGGCCAATGCAGAGAGACAAAAACGTGACCATGACACACGACTGACTGACAACAATTATGAGATAGGGTCCTTGGTTTATAAGTTTGACAAGACCGTCAATAAGAAATTTCAAACTCCATGGCTTGGTCCTTTCATAATTACTAAGATCCTCAGTTCCTTTGTGTACGAAATCAGGGACAAATCACGTACCGAGGTAATCCATCATGACCGTCTTAAATCTTGTAATGAAGATATGCCAGCATGGGCAGAAGCAAGGTTGCACTAGTTTTATTTGTTGCAACTCAAAAGAACATTTTATTTTATTTTCTTAATAATTTTATTTTTCCAGAATGGCAGAAATGTTCAAATGTAGTAAATGTGAAATGAGTTTTAATAAGAGAGGAGCAATACAACACTTCATGTTTAAACATGCACCACTAGACGGAATTCCATATCTTTGCATCAAGTGTAATTTCAAAGAACTTTCAGAGGGAAAATGGTTCCAACACCTACGGGCAATGGCAGGAAAGCCTGACAGAGAGGATTCCGTTGAACACTCATGTATCATAAGTAAAACCCCATATCAAGTTTTAGTTGGAGAAGATGTTGTAAAAGTAACAACCACCAAGGTAATCCAAAGAATTCATAAACCAGCAGAAAGAAAAGTCACAGTTGTGCCAATCGCAACTGAGGTCAACAAAATCAAAATTTACTGCACTGAAGAGGAGGAATTGGTACCAGATTATGAAGAGGAAATTGTGGAGGTAAAACTGGTTGAGATCTTCCAAGATGATCAGAAAGAAGTCCCAACTCAAGATGTACAGCTAACAAAACAAATATTGCACATGCAACATAAAGAAGAGATCAAGAATATAGAAGAGAAACATCAAAAAGAAATAGAAGATATAAACAGGAAACACAATTTTGAATGCCAAAGACTTGGACATTTCATAGAACGTCAGGAAAAGACAAAACAGGGTCTTCAAAATGAAATCAACAAACTAAAACACAAACTTTAACAGGAAACAGATAATTATAATGATGTACCATTGAAGGAGATGAGAAGTATTGTGACTGTGCCAATCAAGAGAAAACTTTAATTCAAACATTTGATTACACTTATATATTTCAATTATATGAATATTTCATTGAACTTATGTTGAAAGTTGCATTTGTATATTCATGTGTAATTTGATATTTTATTTGTGCATACCGTTTTTTTTAATTATTAATTCTGCGGACAGAATTCTTTATTTGACGGGAGGCAGTGTTGTGCAAAGTTAGAAGTTATTATTTTCATAATGAACAATTATTCAGTTCAATTCTATTTTATAATTCCCGCAATATATTTTCCTCGAATATGACATTCATGTCCCATTGTCATCATGTCGGCCCAGATGTTATGCGTAGAAATTTACTTAGCAACGATGTTTTTAAACGTTATAATATATTTAACATGCAATTAATTACCTTTCAAGATAGTTATTATATATTCTTTTAATACAAGAGTCGTAACGTTAATTTGTCCTTAAAGGTCCTCGTTTACTGTTTGCATGTTAACCGGAAATAGGGACTATGTAACTGTGTAGTTATTTTTAGCACAAGATGCTAAAAAGAGTCTGACAGCTTTTCAGTTTGAAATCTGACGTTGACCAAACCAGTTGATCGTATTTACAGTCAAACGATTATTGTTTTCAGTTATATTTTGCACACACATTGCATTGATTTTTAATTTATACACACCATTTAAACTTAAATATTGATATAATGAAATAAAACATTCATTTACTGGAAAAGATTTATAGTTTCATTGAACAAAAGTTCACAACAATTCCGATCGGCGCTACAATAAGATTATGTGGTTGTGTAGTGTATAGAGTCGAAAAATCATAGCTGTCAACTAAATTGAACTGACCATTAAAAGCACGTAATTTATTCAAAGCATCCAAAGAGTTTTTGACACTCCAAAAAAATAGTTAATTCCATTATTTTCATATGCTTTATTACAAAAAATAATCACTATTTCTTTAATAGAAGTAAGAAAACTAGTTAACAGTACAGAGGGATTAGTCGTAGAAAACTTACTAGATGTATATATTTTTTAAATTTTCTTTTGATCCTCCTGGTGGTGGCCAACTCGGGAAAACGTCCCAAATTGTCAAAGTGCTATTTTACAAACTACCACTTAGTCGTTACCGCTACTTGTGAACTGTTAATCATGAGGTTGTCATTAGACCAAGCAGTCAATTGTTCGCCAAATACATAAGTTATCACATTATTTAAAAAAAAAAATTTCCGTCGATAAATATAGAAATGATAAAGACAATAAAGTTCCAATTTCCTCAGACAAAGTAAACCTTATTTAAATAGGGAGAGATGTGGTATGATTGCCAAGGAGACAACTATTCATAGGAAACCAAAGAAATTTGATGTGATCAACAATAGGTCATCGTAATGCCTTAAACATAGGCTAAATCCATATAGTATAGTAAGTTATGAATGGCCCCGACATGACATAATGGGACGAAATTAAAAGGAGGAAAACTACAGCTTGATTTATGCTGAAACAATAAACGAAAAACAAATATGACAGACAGCAACCAACTATAACCACTGAATTACGAGCTTTTGGGACAGGCACGCAGAATGTGGAGGATAAACATATTCGCCAGCGCTTAATCTCCTGCTTAACTTAGAGTTATGGTTTAACAGCAGAACATAAAGACAAACTGTAAAAATCAGTTGGAAATGGCTAGACTCGTCCGATTGGCAAAAAGTACAAAACACAACTATAAAAAAAGATGGTTTTTTTTGCTATCCTTTAAATATCTCTTTTGATATTTTGGAATTCATATATATATATCCTTGGCTTTTAAATATTCATTCTGAGCATTCTTGGTGAAAATTAATCCAGACGCGCTAAATTAATAAGGTTTTATTTGTAAACATTTTACGTGGTAGCAATAGTTTTAGTAGGGGAAGCAGTGTTAAAAACAACTTGCTAAGGGGGCGAACAATGGACGTACAAACACGTCAAATATAACAATCTCAACAGTTGTCTTGACGTTTTCTTTCAAAAATTAAAATAGCTTTATTATAAAACCATAAAAATGTTCATCATTACTTTGTATAGTCAAAGCGATAAAGATGAATAATGACCTCTCTCCTCAAGAGTAGACTGAGCAGAAACTACTGCGCATTTGTGTGTAGCTTATATTGTACTGCCTGTTGAGTAAGGGATTGTCTATTAAAATCTTTGCCCAAGTATAAGTGATACATTACATTCCTGTACTATTTATTTATGTGCTCCTGGATTTTAAGGTTTACACCCACAAATATGAACTGAAAATATGGAATATTAAGTTTGAGTCAAAAGCATTTTTGTGTGATACAAGTCAAATATTTTTGTGAAAAATTATTTATTTTTCCTCCAAAAAACTGTTAAAACCAGGAGATTCCAGGGGGGTAAAATAAGTTTTGACTGAGACCAGTATAATGAAAACCACCACATTATAAATTTTTTGGAGATAAAATATAAACAATATATCCAGTTAAAGTGGGTACGTACTGATAGGCACCGGAAACATCTTACGAGGTCAACTAAATGGAAACCGTCGAACATAAAGGATATATGTGTGATGTCTCACACTTGCCTTTGGCTGTATTAAGCAGGGATCGTGTAAAAGCTGTGCAATAATCATGATACAACATAATGCATGATTCTAAGTTTCCCGTCATGTTTGTCAGTGAATAAACTAAAAAAAAAAAGCTGTCTTGTTTCAATTTCAAAGATACGAACTAAGTAGAGTAATTGTTCGAGGAACATGTCCCGTTGTAGATACATTCAATCGAAACCTTATGTGTGGTTATGAATTAGTAAAAGAGTCAAACTCTCTCACCAGTGACTTTAAACAAAAATGCAAGTCTTTGAATAAATAAATCAAAGTTTGGCGACTACGTCGATCGTATCTATCTCTATCAGACTTCAAATGCAAAATATTCAACAGGTAGGACTCCGCCCTTACATTGACTTTAACTGAAAGTCCATTAGACCACTTTCGAGTTATGTCCTTCGCCGGAAAATATTAATGATTTTCTTAATTTGTTTTACAATAACAAATAAATCAAAAAAAACGTACAAGCAGTCCATCAGTAGTTCACCATACTGCATATTTCCGGTGTGTTTCAAGAAAAACAACCTAACTCCAAACGCCTTTCCATCCAACCTGTGCAAAATTGTAGATCCTGTGCATATACGTTGTATTGATTCTGGAATTTCGCGTTGACGGACACACTTGCAAGCGCAATCAGTAAAAACTAGAAGGCAATGGCTGTATATGTTATGTAGATTTTTTCCGTTATCATTAAGACTTATCCATTCTGTGTCACCGTCATTAAAAGGTTCATTTGAAGGATGGCAGATGAGCAAAGTGGATCTATGGATATGTTTGATTGCATGCGTAACACTTTCTAGCTTTGTTTCATTATCACTTTTCCTTTCTTTTTTACCGTCAGTAAATTTTTTACTTGAAGGATAACAGATTAGCGATGTGGCTGTTTTTATATGTTTGAGTTCAACCAATCCACCTTCTAAGCCCTTAATGGAATATCGTTTATCTGCTTTGATGTTGTCTGAATCTAACGGATCAAAATATTTGAGTACCCTCTGTCTAGCTTTCTCATGTTTTCCCATCAATATTATTGTATCACCTTCTTTTCGCTCTTTCTGTTTAAAGGAAAGAAAAGGAAAAATATAAAGGCATGTCGTGTTGTGTAAAAATTTTCTAAAAAAAATTTGAGAGCTTCCCAAATGACGGTTATTACAGCAACACTTGTATTATGCACTTAATTCATACGATTATATTGAAGAAGACTTGATATTGAAATCTGTAAAATTTTGCCAATAACTCAAATGGCCAGGTTTAAATTTGTAATTTGGCCATATAAATAGGAAAGACACTTGTTTTAATATGCTTTAGGAAACATAAGATCGAATGCTAGTTAACTGTATAGTATCTGTTGGAAGAGATCGGAAATAATATCGTCTTTTGAGCCCACCATATTAAGGTAAACTTTCAAACTAATTAGTAATAACAAGTCAGCATCAATCTTGGATGATTTGGTGCAATAATTCGCAAAATTAAAATTTAACATATAAATAATTGACAACATCTGTTTCTAAATTCGTTCATCACTGTCTTCACGGTCTACATTTATTTTAAATGATGATATAGATTTTGAAGATTTTTGATTCTTTTTCTTGTCTTTGAGAAGGTTCTGAGTGATTTCTGCTTCATCTGAATACTAAATGCACGATAAGCACAGATTGGAATATAGACTGTCTGCTTAAACCTTGATAAACACGTTTCTAGTTCTTTTCTATAGATTTAACAAAAAGGCGTCATATGGAATTTATCTCTACCACACACTTTGAAATGTTCGCTGAAAGACATTTATCTTACCTCTGGATGTGGAATCTTATATTGACGTACACGGACACGTTTAAATATAATAATCTCTGCCTTCAGAAACATTTTGGAAGTGAAAAGAAAGTGATAGTTCACTTGTAATGAATAAAACAATGTTCACCCCGAGACTTGAAAGGGATTCACATTAAGAATTATCATAGAAACAATTAAAACTTTCAATACCTTTACAAAAAAGTCATAACAATATAAGAGTAATAATAAAAAGTAAAATAACAAAAAATACCGACCTCCAAGGAAAATTCAAAACGGAAATTCCCTTATCAAATAGCAAAATCAAAAGCTCAAACATATCAAACGAATGGAAAACAACTGTCATATTCCTGACTTGGTACAGGCATTTCCTTATGTAGAAAATGGTGGATGAAACCTGGTTTTATAGCTAGCTGCCATCAAACATAAGCTAAAAGAACTAGCCAATGAATTTGTTTTTGTCCCGGCTGATAAGGCTGCCAATGATATCATTATTGGTTGACGTAAAGTTTACATTTAGGTTCTGCAAAAGGAAATCACGAATTCACCAACACTCCAATTGACTCCATTTTCAGAAAATGACATCTGTAACAAACACAAACTTATAGCTACTTCTTTACAAGCAGAACCAAATACAATGAAAGTTCCAACCATGAATTGGCTTCCGAAGCTGCACAAAAAACCTTACAAATATAGATATATTTCATCTTCAAGCCATTGTTCCACTACTAAACTGTCTATTCTACCTAATAGTACACTTGGTACAATCAAAAACCTGGTAATAAATTATTCTAATAAGGCCTTTGAAAATAGTGGAATTAATCACTTTTCTAGTGTCAAAAATTCGTTGGAAGTACATGATAAATTGCAAGCTTATATTGGTGATTTCGAATCTGTTCAAAGTTTTGATTTTTCTACCCTATATACCACTTTGCCTCATAATCTTATTAAGAAAAAATTAACACACCTAATTAAATGGGCATTTAAAAAATCAGAATGCGAATATATATATGTTCAAACTCTTTTAGGTAATTTTTTAGTATTAACAAACAAAAGAATTATGTCAATTGGACCTGCTTTGATACTATAACTGCCCTTGAATTTTTACTAGATAACATATTTGTTTGCTATGGAGATTCCGTATATCGTCAAGTTATCGGAATTCAAATGGGGACTAACTGTACACCACTTATTGCGGACCTGTTTCTATATTGTAATGAGTTACAATTTATGATTAAAATCAGCAAAGACCCATCGAAACAACATCTGATACAAAAATTTAATAACACTTTTAGATATTTGGATGAGATATTGGCTCTCAATGATGACGACTTCGGTATGTTCACTAAAGAGATTTATCCAGCTGAACTGACTTTAAATCTAGCTAATACTAACAATGAACACTGTTCTTTCCTGGATCTTGATATCTATATCTTTAACGGGAAGCTTAATACCAAAATTTATGATAAAAGAGATGATTTTTGATTTTCTATTGTTAATTATCCATTTTTAGACGGTGACGTTCCCTTGTCACCATCTTATGGTGTTTTTTATATCTCAACAACTTCGATTCGCTCGTGTATGTAACAACGTATTTTATTTTAACGAAAGAAATCTCTGTATTACTGAAAAATTATAACACCAAGGTTTTCGATATCACAAACTAGTCAAAATATTTACTAAATTTTATCATCGGTACAAGAACATCATTCGTAAATATAAATCAACCTGCAGACATCTAATACGTTCAGGTATTTTACATCCAATCCTTTATGGTAATATTCTTTACAAAGCACAAAAATGTCGGCATTTACCTCAAAAGCTAACCAAATCTTTAAACAGACTTATCCAGAAGGGATATACTATTGTCAGGTCATTAAAGATGGCATATTTTGGTATTAACATTGATGCACTCATAGGGTCTTTGCATCGGAAATAAACACATTTATTCTAAAACAAGTTTTGGCATGATACGGGTTATGTTCTTCTCATATATTTTATGATGGTATGATACTAAACCCCTTACGAGAGGGATTGTGCTTGATTTTCATATGATGAAGACATAATATTTCAATTAGTTAAATTGAGGTCTGGAGCTGGCATGCCAGTAACTGCTAATAGTCCTTTGTTCATTTATATATCATTGTCATTTTACTTAGTTTCTTTTGTTATCTATTCTGACATTGGACTCGGACTTCTTTTAAACTGAGTTTTACTGTGCGTAATGCTGTGTGTTTGTTTTTTCTACATTGGCTAGAGGTATAGGGGAGGGTTGAGATCTCACTAAACATGTTTAACCCCGCCGCATTTTGCGCCTGTCTCAAGTCAGGAGCCTTTGTCCTTTATAAGTCTTGTATGATTTTTAATTTTAGTTCATTTATATGTTTTGGAGTTTAGTATGATGTTCATTTTCACTGAACTAGTACACATTTTTGTTTAGGGGCCAGCTGAAGCCCGCCTCCGGGTGCGGGATTTTCTCGCTGTGTTGAAGACCCATTGGTGGCCTTCGGTTGTTTTTTGCTCTTTGTTCGGGTTGTTGTCTCTTTGACACATTCTCCGTTTCCATTCTCAATTCTATAATAGGTTAAAATATGTCAACAAAGAAAAACAAATGGCATGTAGACAAAGAAAATAAACAAAAATGCGCTTCAAGAACAAACACTTCTATCATTCTTAAGGAATCAGACCTGAATGGTGCAATTGTCATAAGAAACAAAATTATTGTACAATTGCATGACACATAATACTGAAACAAAACTGTGAACTCATAGTTATAAACATAAGCGAAGTAAAATTACTAGTGCATGTATATATTCATATCTTTATTCCTTTACAAACACTGGCATTGCTTATTAGTGAAATTTTGAGGCAACAACCCGAACCCCCATGATTTATCCAAAATACATAAAATCAAATTAATCCAGAAAGCTGCAAATGTACAAAACAAAACTAGTAGCTGTACTGAAATACTTTGCCAAGCAGATCTTTAATTAAAGTCAACAGTAGCTGGTGCGGGATTTACAACATCAAATTGGTACTAATTGTGCACCATTACTGGCCTACTTGTCTATTGTATTCTTATGAAACAGAACTCATTCAAATACTTCTCAAAAACAAAAGAAAAAACACCCAAAAAAAATCCCACCAATGTCACTTCCAGATGTATCGAAATTTCTTGCAATAGTCAAATGAAATTAATTGCTTCAAAATTTCCATCAAAAATGCTTTGCGTAATTTCATGTACATCACGTTTTTTCTAAGGAATTGTTACAGTATCAAAAAGAGGAAATTAACAGAAATCAAATTTCAAACAGATTTTCTGTAAATTCTGCGTCACATAAAAGTAATTTTTAAACTTTTGTTTCTTCTGAATGATATAATACCTATTATGTGCCTTTTGCGTTTGTTCCTATTAATATGATCAACTGCAATTGATGAAGTTAAAGTTCCATTGAAAACTTACTTCACAATAGTCCCTTAAAAGAAAATCATATGATCCGTGTCTTAGCCGTTATGTATATGCGACCTTTTTTCCTGATGCTTGAATTGGAACATTAAAATTTTTAAGAAATTCATTCATCAAACTGGTAACTTTTACATATTTTGCAAACATGGCTTTGTTCAACGATTCTAGTTCATACATTAGCCAAATTATGTTAGATATGTGGTAAGATATGCTAAGATTGTGATACTATTTCTGATATGACCAATTTAGACAGAAATTGAGATATTATAAAGATAAGTGGACATACAGTAAGACTGCAGCAGAATTGGATACGTTTTAAACTCTTGAATGTTGGAATGATTAACTATTAAGGTAGCCGGGGTGTCTTCCTCCATCTTGGAATTTGAAATAGCGAATATCAATCGGTCTAGATCTTTAATGAAATGTGCAAATTTCAAGAGTATTTTGTAATTCATGTGCAAGACTTTTCATGTTGATAAAGAAAATTGTGTGTTTTATCATATTTTACGGCTGTATTTTACAAAAAAAAACATATTTTTGTTTTTAATTTTTTTTTCAACTTTGCCACATAAGGGGATATAACTCAGATAAGGTTAATTTTAAAAAAGAATGTGTTGTGAATTTACCTATTTTATTATGTAGTAAGAAAACGAGTCCGGTGACCCCATTTTTACTTTTACTTATCTGGAAGCATATTGTTAGAGCTATCTTCTCATATTTTATCTTTAAATTCTATGGCGTAATTTTCTTTTCATCACAAAAAAATTTGTTTTCCATGCATAATCTATACAAATCTGACAAATTCTCACAACCTGTAGCACGAAAAAGAGCACGGTGACCCATACGTTTTAATATATTTTTGAAAAAAGCATGTTATAAACTACGTTTTGACAAATTATTAAAAAAATCCATGGATTTTAATTTAGACTCCCCATCTACCTTAAACTTTGTTATCAGAGTAATGTCATCTCATTGATATGCACATTAAACACAAAATTTGTTAAGACTCGCTATTTAACAGGAGACACAGTGGTGGTTACAAACTATTCAAATACATAAACAAAAAGCATCTAATATGTAAAGTATTACAGCCTCATAATTAAGGTCTGATTCTTTCAACATTTCCATATATTCAGATGCTTTTTGTTTATGTATTTGAATAGTTTGTTACCACCACTGTGTCTCCTGTTAATTAGCGAGTCTTAACAAATTTTGTGTTCAATGTGCATATCATTAATACTTGGACAAAAAGGCGAGAAGGAGAAGAGAACATTTTGGAATTACCAGCTATATTTTTTAGAACCTGATGGTCTAAATGAAAAAGACGAGAAAAGGTAAAGGAAAGGTAAGTAATACGTTTATTATGTGGCATCGTCCTAATTATCCCTGTAATATTAGCCAATAAACGTTGAAAACTTATCTTACTTCCACAACAGATTTCGTAAATTAAATAAATAATCTTGAACGTCATTCAATTTATTTATTAAGAACCAAAATTTAACGTACAATGAGCTGCCACAGTTTTTTTTCATCTGTAACCGATTTCACTTGAATAGATGCACGCCCGATGAAGCTAGTTTAGCTAGCGAAATATTGCATTTTTTTTATCGCATTGTAAATATGTGTTAAAATTAATTTGCTAGGCAGTTTATATTTATTTATTGCATTACCATGATTTCTTTAGCACGCAAAAATCCATAAAGATTAAAACCAAACATCCAAATGGGCTCCCACTTCTTCAGGATCTCCTCTGAAATCATAAGAAATGAATTACTTTTTTTGTAGAATACCATTGTAGATTTATTGAAACAAACACACGCACAGTCACACACGCACGAACTAAGATTTCAAACCTAAATATATAACATTATTTTAAGAGCATTTGTTTTTGTCTTTGAAATTGTTGCTATGAAATAATCTTTAATAAAACTAATTTTTGATATGTAAAAATTTTTTTGAGTCAAGCCCTTTTTAATTGGTTCTTACAGTTCATTCAAAAGTTGCGTTCTTACACCACTGCCCTACGTTAAGAAGGGTTGGGCTTACTATATGGTATGGATTTGCACATTATTGTTTACATCATCGTCCTTTGTTCTTTGGTATATAGTTGTCACATGCATCACTCATCCAACGCCTAGTTTATTCCTATGAATAAAATGTTGACATTTATTTCAAATGAAAGTTGTTATGACAACTTTGTTTCATCTTAACTCACGGAGAGGGAAAGCATATAGACCTGTTATCGTACGCAAGACGCGTGAATTTAAAATATCTGAAATTTTTTGTGATAAAAAGAAAATTACGCCATATAATTTAAAGATTAAATATTATAAGATAGCTCTAACAATATGCTTTCACATGTTTGGAAAGTCCAAAATATCTAAGTCTGACAGCACAAATTCAAACCGGCTTAAGTGCGAGTTGTGGTTTTAATTTATTTGGGTTTTTATGTGCTTTGTATCGATCTGATGAGTTAAGCACTTTTTCAACTATTTTTTTATAGTTTGTTCTTATCATGTCTTATGTTTCACTGTTACACCATTGTCCAAGGGTAGGTGGAGGGTTTGGCGCCAGCAAGCATTTTTAACCCGCCACATTCTGTATGTGCCTGTCCCAAGTCAGGAGCTTATAATTCAGTGGTTGTCGTTTGTTGTTGTGCATCATATTTGTTTTTCATTTCTTGTTTTGTACATAAATCAGGCCGTTAGTTTTCTCTTCTCGATTGATTTGTTTTACATTTGTCATTTCGGAGCATTTTATAGCTGACCATGCGGTATGGGTTGTTGACGACTGTACGATGACTTAAGGTTGTAAACATCTAAGTCAATTGGTCTCTGGTGGATAGTTGTCTCATTGGCAATTATACGAAATCTTTTTATCTTTATAGAAAAGTGCGTTTTAGTACCTGAACACCCTTTTTCCTGACTGAACCATTTATGTAAGCTATAATTTCAAACTTTAGATGTACTCTAGCATAGGAAATGACTAGTTTTGATTTTTCGTAAAGTTTAAGTTTTGATTTAGTTTTGATGTCACTTGTTAAGTTAGCAAGACATATTTAATCAAAGTAAAACACTGCTTTCTGATATCATTTGATTTGTATCTCAGGACTTGCTATATATTTATCCCAATCACCCATTGATGACAATGAAAGTTCTTTTATTAAAAAAAATATGCTATTATCGGGATTGGAAATGCATTGTATAACTATGTCACTACATTGGTAATTGCTGATTTGGCCTATTTATTTTTATTTGATTCGATCGTCATTGATGAGTCTTTAAAGTTTTATTGATGAAACCAGCGTTTATCGTACAAAATTATAAGCCTAGTATCTTTGATGACTTTTTAGAATTAGATATGTCTTGCTCACTCAACAAGTGACATCAGAAATATTGAGATGAGGTATATTTAACCAGCGGTGACAATCAAATATCTGGATTCTGAAAATTCTAAAGATCTACTAAAAATCACAATCTTTACAATTATGCAGTAATATAAAAAACCTGTGATTTATTACGCTTTATACGACTATTCCCCATGTTTGATTGAAAGATCGACTATATCGCGAAATCGTCTCATTAATCAAAGTTTTCTATAAAAACGGGAAACGTGGAGATAAATTCCTTGTTTTAGGTCACGGAAAATCATAGATTGATAATCCACTATGGATGCTAATTGTGCATAACTGTCCGATTTGTTTATGTACTTATATGAATCAGAATTCACAAACGACCTTTCAAAGACAAAAGAAAAAGCATCTGGCAAAGTTCATTAATTTTACTCTAAGATATATTGATGATGTCCTGTAACTCAATAAATATCCCGACTTTCAATGAGTACTTGCATCTCATGTATTCATGTGAACTTGAGATTAGGGATAAAACCAAAAGTGGAAGATATGTTGCATATTTTCATCTTTTCCTTGATGTTGACACAGATGGACGACATCAAACTAGCGTGATGATTTCAACTTTTTAATTGTCATATTCTCATTTCTCAGCAGTAACATACCCTCTTCTAAAACTTGAAGCTCGTGCATGTTCACACTTTACGGACTTAATTGACAGATATGTGCTCCCTACACAAAAAATGCTCCAAAATTTACGGACTTAACTAACAGGTATGTGCTCCCTACACAAAAAATGATCCAACACTTTACGGACTTAATTGACAGGTATGTGCTCCCTACACAAAAAATGATCCAACACTTTACGGACTTAATTGACAGGTATGTGCTCTCTACACAAAAAATGATCCTACACTTTATGGACTTAATTGACAGGTATGTGCTCCCTACACAAAAAATGCTCCAAAAGAGTTATTGAGAAGAACGACTGAAATCGAAACTACGTAAGTTTTATGGTCACTATCACGAAATTGCTAACCGATATTATGTATCTCAAATGACAAGCAACATGATATCGTGGTCTTAGTTTTTTCGATACGAGTATAGTCGTCTCATCTGTTATTTTACCGATTGTGTCAAATTCCCGATTGTGACATTTTGACTGAGTGTAGAATCGCATGACCGGTGATGCATGCATAGCAAGGGACGCTTACCCTGTCATCACACCAGGTCTCGTCCGTTTGGAGTTTATGAATTTCCATCAGTTTTTGTTTATTACCTTGATTTGTCTCTTCTTAATCTATTTGCGAGATTTGAACATCGGTAAACCTCTGTCGTCTAATTTATAACTTATCACGAATATCTTCTAAATTTCCGTTTTTAATAGAAAAAAAAAACAATTTCGAGCGTCTGACGCGTTTTTTTCTGAATTTACCTTTATTAGGAACGCTAAAACCTTAATATTTAATAGCCAGGAATGCGTGAATAAGCTGAAAAGTTAGGAGCTACATGACCAAACAAAACCTCAACAGAATAGCCAAATTCATCAATTTTGCCTGAGGGAGTTGAAACCTTAATTTCTTAAAAAATCTTAAGTTATGCATCATTCTTTTTTATGACAAAAGAAGTTTTAGTGATAAGATTGGAACATCGGTAAACCATCGTTGCCTCTAATGTATGTAGTTTGATATGGTTGACGTTATTGACTCAAATTTAATTGCATGTTTCAAATACTGAATAATTTATCATATGATTTTACTGGCCAACATTTCATATTCATATGAAATAGAATTCATACACAACCTTCCAAGAGACAAAAAGAAATCGAATCTTGCCAATTTTTTACATTTTCACTTTCAGACATACTATTTGTCACTCTATAACCATAATGTCAGCTAGTATTTGTATCTCATATATCCCAATGATTTTGAAATTAATTATACAACTGAAACTGGAAGGTCTGCTCCATATTCATATCTATTCTTGAAATTAACATAGATGTTCGACTTAAGTATTACAATAAATATGACGATTTCAGTTTTCCCGATGGCAGCTTCTCGTTTCTCAGTAATTATCAATCATTTTATCGATCGTATGACGTTTATATATTTTAATTGACACGTTACGTGCTTGCATGTTTACATTATACGGATTTTGGTATATGTGTGTGATCCTAGCGAAAATACTCTCGTAGCAGAGTTATGAGGAAGGACAACTAAAATTGACATCAGTGCAAATTGGTTGCGTAATACATAGACATGATTTGTTGTTCTGAAAATCTTAGGACTCAGAAAAGTCGTTTTGATTCGAAACCTTACTGTATACTGTTTTAAACCATATCGTGAAGGTTTTGACTTTGTTTTGATTTGTATGGCGGATGATGAACGCATAGCTGGAGACACTTCATTAGTTTTGATTATTTAAAATGAATTTACGAATTTTAAACATTTGTAAAATATTGTTAAAACTGTTTAGTTTACAGCACGGACTCGCCATCGAGAACATTATCAACAGTATCTATTGATAATGTATTTGGAATATTGAGTAATTTAAAATAGTATCCAGAACACGATTGTTTTAAATCGACGCGTTTAGTGATAGTTAACCAAAAGTGAAAACTGTCGAACTGGTCAATGAATTGATTGTAAACATTTCAATATTGAAACAGATATTTGGTCTTATGATTTTGAAAACATTGACATCTTTATTAAAGTAAGTGCATAATAATATCTCAAATAATAAATAAAAGTTCATTGGCAATATTGTTTTATTTATTTATGCCTGTTGTAAATGCTGCTGCATATTATATGATGAGATTTGAGTACAAGTTGAAAGAAAATGCTGACATTTAAAAATCAGGGTATCACTGGCGTAAATGTATCGGTAATTACCTTCTATACCTACTTATCAAGACACTAGATCTTTTTAACTGTTGTCTTCATTTAAAGTCTGTTTTCTATTTATCTGGGAGTCATTAAAAATTTCAGAATTATTTTCTCAGTCTGAAACCACTGAGCCAATGAAGATGGTCAGAGTTATCGTTGAGGATTTTATATGAATTGAACTAAAGAACTCATGCTATCATACTATTAATCCACATTACAAAAATCAGGTAAAAAAGGAAGAGATTATATCTAGGGAGGCAAATAAAAATTTAAGTCGAAGAAAAAAACAGATAATCATGATCAAAAGAAAAACGAGAAAATGCCAAAATAAACTGATTGTAAAAAAAAATTAAGGAGATCTTGTTAATGATATTTGCAGAAAACATTCAAGCTTTCAGGAAACGATTTATTTATAGTTACGGTAGATGACACAAATAAACATCAAGTATGCTCGTCATCATTGATAATAATAGAAATTAAAAATTCAAGCGCAGATCAAAGTTCCATTGAACTTAA